GTATATAAGCAGCACGCTTTGCTTTAGTCTTTAAGGTATTTGTATTTTTATTGGTTTGTTTTGTTTTATTCTGGTATTGTACTACAAGTTGGTATAGACCAACAAAGCTATATTTTTTATAACAAGGCTTTTATTCTAAACTACTATATAAAGTTAATACACTGACCATGTTCTAAAATGATTTCAATCAAGATCTAAGGAACAGCTTGGTAAGGATAATGGTAATTCATGTAGTTCTGTTAAGAAAAATCTTTTCCACACATGGGAGTTATATAGGGAGAGAGTGCACTTCCTAACCCTACCCTTACATCTCTCTGAATTATCCTTTCTCTCACACACAGATGCACAAATATTTACAACCAGATTTCATCTCTACAAAGTAATACATGTTCAGCTGACTGTATTATACATATTTAAACATGTTCCACTCAGTTTGGATCCATATTCAAATATGCTGAGCACCTATATATATTCAGCAGATGATGACAATAAATTCCTTCACAATCACCACTGCTCAGGCCACCCAAGTTACAGGCAAGAGCAGCAGGAATGCAAAACACCTGAGTCAGAACCAGGACACATGACCTACCTGCCTGCCTAAATACAATTTGCATAGAAGGGATTTTCCGAATATTACATCTTCACCTGTTTGGTTTTCTAGCTGCTTCTAAAAATGAAGCAAGTTTCAAAAGCATACAGTGATATGAGAGTGCTTTAAACTGGACATACTACAAGTAGTTTTTCAAATTCCAAACACTGTGGTTTGCTGCATACTATAATTACAGACCCACCGTATGACTGTTTACTCAGAATCCACTTTGCTTGGAAACAGATGACAAAGCGGTGGAGGTCTTCTAGTGCCAAAAAGGCATGTTCTCTCATCTCAGCCAATCACATTTGTGAGACCCCCAGCTATAACTATGAGTCACTCACTTAACATCAGCAGCCACCTTCCACTGAAGTATAATCTGTTCCTGCATTTGTACCTTTCACTGTGTTAGTCTTAGGGACAAACTTTACATCTCTGTACATAATGTTTTTGGTTTAAGCACAAATATCAGACATGAGTTAGTGAGTGATAAGGGGGGGAACCTGTAAAACTGAAAAGGAACATAATCTCTTTTTCAAAATAACCCAAGGTAAATTCAGAAGTAATTTAAAAGGAGGAGGAAGTCAGATGAAAGAAATTAAAAAATAATAATTGGGTAAGACTAAGCAAGACTGCCTCCAAGCCAAAAATTTGATGTGTGTACATTCAGACTGCAGCTCCCAGAACTCCCCTGGGGAATATTTGGTGCTACAGCTGCAAACACACAAATATGCTATCAAAAATGGCAGTGCCATTTTCATCTACTACTCTGCAGACAAATAACTCAAATGGCACTACTGGGAGTGCAGTTATGTTTCCCTATAATATTTTTGCACTACTATCATTTCACGTTCTTACAATTACACAAAGCACAGAATAATTTAATTTTGGTGATGTATGCCAGGCCCGCATCCTACAAAAACAAGCTATAAATGTTTTTCCAGGTGGACAAGCTCCATCTGAGAACTGAAGCATGGCCATTTCCTTGATTAGCATCTATTGTGTTTTTGGACGTCCTTGTCTTCTCCCTCATAGCTGTATATTCTATATACAGTAAAGAAGGAATTCCCTAACAAATCCCAATCAATAAGAAGCAACCCAACCAGGTCTACTTTATCAATTTTGCCTATATGGTATTATCCAAAGCATTTGTGTACAGTCAGAAAAGTCAATCATACAATCTAATAAAGCACTATTCATAGCCTGATTAGATCGAATCTGTTCATCTGGGCAGAATGGAACTATGAAACTGATTTTTTCAAAAATTAAAGTTTTAACATATCATAGAGAAACAATGCATCAGCAAACAGTCATACCCCAAGGAACTGGTGATATTACCTGAGCAAGTTCTTTTTGTTCATTTACCAGCCTGCTACAGCTAGCTATCATCTGGTCCAAAGCATAAAGCCTGTCCTCAAGTCCCTTAATGGCTTTCATATTTTGATTATCTAACTTGGCAATTGTTTGTCGACAGTCTGCCAAAAAAGGCTGAATAATCCTTGGATCCAGCTGAAAAACAGGGACAAAAAATTAAAAAGAACACATGAATGAGTGAGGGATACATGAATATGAAATATAGTGCAAATGAAACAGACATAACAACAATGGTCAGCCATTTCCTTGAAGAAAACCAGCAAATTATTTATTAAAAAAAATATTACAGAGAAGACAAGGCTAGCTCTGTTGCTCATGTGAAAACCTCTTAAAAAATATATTAGTGCCATCATTTTACGAGACCATCGCAAACGTCATAAAATAGAATAGTATACAGGCATTCATTTGAATGCTGAATAAAAGCTTTTATCTTCTCTGACATTTTGGCTTTCTGATAAAAGCACTGCCCAGTGAAATAAAAGCTACAAAATGTTACTGTGCTGCTTCTTATGTTTAACAAAGCTGATCACATGCCTTCTTTAGACACAGCTAACATTCAAACGAGTCAGAAATAAACTGGTCATGGTGATGTTTAAGAATCGACTAAAATGGATGATTAAGACAGAAACAGATTTGTAAATAAAATTAATGTAGGACGGTAAATGTTAAACATCTGGTTGTCCACCATTTTTTATTATTTATTAATTTTATTAATACTATTATTTTATTAATTGATGCTATTTATTTATTTATTTATTTATTTTCCTTTGTACATGGAGTCAATTGGGAAGTGAGGCTAGAAGTAAAGTTAGGTGATTATGTCTATTAAACTCAACTGTCATAACCAGATTTCTACTGATCTGCAGCAGGGAGGAGCACTTCTTGTATAGTTATTCAAATGTTTTGTAGAGAGGGAAGGAGTACTTTTTTTCAGTTTTGATGTTTTGTGTTAATTGAGTTATTTAGGTTTGTTATATTTTATATTATTTCTTTAAAAACTAAAGAAAAATATAATTTGCATGGTCTTTCTTTATTCATATTAGAGCACTGCACAATCTAAAAATATGGACACATGAAATATAGGTGAAGTTAAAAACAAATTAAAATGTTTTTGACCAGAAGCAGAATATTCCAACTGTGTTAGCTTGGCTATTTGCTTGATCTTCTATTGTACACATGGTAGGGCATAAACTGGATATAACTAAGTGCTGTATTGATTGAGTTTCTCCACAATCACAGAAAATTTGCCCCATTTTACTTTATTTTTTGAACTTCCTACTTCACTTTGAATTCAAACATATAAAAAAGTCATAGATGAAATTATATCATTCATCCATCTATCCTAGCAGCATACAAATTTAATAGTAAGAAAGTTTCCCAAGGGTTTAAACCCTTTTAAGTAAGTTAATTTTTCTAATCATTGCTACCAAGGATTTTTTTTCCCCATGGAGATACTGTGGACTGAACTTGATATGTTCTGTATACCAATCTGGTACTCTCTCACTGAGTACAGTATATGCCTTTCCTCACCTCTAGAACTGGGAAATGGTCCAGCCTATAGACAATGGGCCTGCAGCACGGAACAGATCAGGTTTGGGAGAGGACAAATAATCTTTTTTAATATTATGAGATCAAGAAAATAATATTTGCCCTAACATTGGAAATAAACATAGTGGCAGGAACATAAATAAGCCTATAAAACAACACATCCCAACCTTGAGTCCCCAGATGTTCTTGGACTACAACTCCCAGAAATCCTGGCCAGCACAGCTAGTGGTAAAGGCTTCTGAGAGTTTTAATCCAAGAACATCTGGGGACCCATGGCTGGGAATCATTTCTACAAAAGTTCGTCACTTTAGGTTTTATACATAGTGGCTCTTTAAAAACCTACCAAATTGCAACTCCCTGAAGTTACCATGGAGTTTAGCAAATGTGAAAGAAAAGAGAAAGAGTAAGAAAAAAAGAAAAGTGCAACTATGATTTAAAAAAGAATCTGGTGGGCTGCTCTAGCTGTTTCAACTGTTGAGCAATTTGGATTTGGCTGAATGGAATTGTGTTGATAGGACACTCTGTCCAGAATTTTTTTCTTTTCTCATGCATTTCCCTTTAGACACCAAAGCCAAGGGGTGGGGGAGTCCAAAGGATAAATGAAGTCACTTGAGCAACTGGAGGAAGAATGGGGAAATCGGCCAAAATTACCTCCTAGACACTCGCAGAACCTTCTACTGCATTTTAATCTCATCCATAAACAGAGGGAGCCATTCTATTTATAGGACAACTCTAACCTTCCATATTTCTAAGAAAACTAATATAAAGACAGGACACTGTAATTCAAAATATAGTAAGAAAAACACAATGAAATTTTAGAAGAATTCACTTACTCTGCTCATAGAATCAAAACACTTTCTGACCAAAGATTCAACATCGTTAGGTCTATCTTGAACATTAATCCAATCTAAGAGGGACACATTGAAGGAAGGGAGATCATTATCTTTCAGCTCCATTGAAACATCACTGTCCTGGACAGAAGGATCCTGACTGCTTTCCTTCTTTTCATTCACTTGTTCAGAAACTCTGCCATCTGGGCTTTGATGTTCTACTGATTTGCAAAACGATGCTAACAATGATTGTTTGTTAATTTTATGCTTATTAGGAGAAACCATGACTTCAGCTGACTTCTCATTTTCAGTGTCTTCACTTTCAGTCTCTCCATGTTCTACTGAAGAATCAAGATGCTCCAAACACTCTCTGTAACTATGTCGAGTTAGGCACTCCAACAATGGAATCTTTGCCATAATAGAAACAGCAGCCCCTAAGCTTGGGAGAGAAAAAAAGACCAAAACCTCCCATAAGAATAACCAAAGAAAGTGGCAGGCACAAAAGACGTGTTCTCCAAAATGAATTCCATACAACTCCTCATGATTACTTGCATTTAGTCATTAGTTCTAGAATCTGAAGCTAAGATCTGAAAGCACTTCAACATACGTTGTAAGGAATTTAAAAGAAAATCCTAACATCAAGGCTGTAGGCCTTCTTAACTCCCGCTGAATTCACTGGATTTATTTTTTGGACAATTACAGGTCTACTGTATGTTCTACAGTGCTAAAAATACAGAAAAGATTTCTCAAAATCTGTCCACAAACGAAACTGATGATCACTGAATTAATATGCATCTTATCTACATTTTGAGAGGTAAAAAATGCTGGGAAAATTTTACATTGTACCTGCATATACATAACTAAATTCAAACTGATTTAGTTCTAAATAATTTTGTGAAAAAATGTATCCTTAATTCAAGAATCATATCAGTCTGTAATGTACTCCAAATTATCTATCACGAAATCCTGAAACAAGAATTATTAGGTACATGAAGTTTATTATATAAGTATGAAATGCTAAACTATTTTTAATTATCTAGAGGTAAACCTACTGTGTAAGTTTTAGCTTAATGTCATCAATGGATTGCAGGTAACTTGAATAAGCATTTTCAAACTTGAAAAGCAGCTTTTGGTAAGAGCATGCACAATCTTCCAAATTTGCCATTATGGCAGCCCAGCCTTGGTGCTGAAGATGTTCATCATGGACCAGACCTTCACAGAAGGAACAAAGTTTCTTGGCAATCTCATACATTTCCTGTAGAAAAATAATATTTGTAAACATTAACAGATGATTACTCTGGATACCCATATTTACTTGTTAAGAAATTGACACAAACAGACACTATGGGATATAAAATCACTTGTCTAATCATCCCTTAAGAGAAAAAGATTCAGTGTAAGTGTACAGACTGTATACAAGATGCACTATACAATAAACTGCAACACAATATAAAAAACCAAATTATCTAGAAGGATCATGAGAGCTAAACGACAAAAAAAAGAGTTTCTTTGTCCTGTCTGTTTTCTTTTCTTGATTCCTCAAAAGACTCCCTAAAACATGATTCATATTACTGAAAGTTTTGTGTTCTTCCATGTTTCCTTCTTTCATGAAAACTTTTTTCCACTAGCTGAACATGCCCTGAAACAAACTGAAAGGCATCCAGATCCTCCCACCCTGCCCCCGCGGCCGGGATCCCTACCCTCGCCAGGGAGGGACTGATCCAAGCGGCGGCGGCAGGATGGGAGGGGTCCAGATACCTTTCAGGCCTCCAGGGCTTGGATCCGCCCCCGGCCAGCTTCCCCATCCATGGACGGACTCTCTGGAGTCCGTCCATGGATGGGGTAGCCGGCCGCGACGCGGATCACGGCCGCCCTCCTCCCAACCCCTCACCCCCTTCTCCGACACCGCTGCTGGACTTTGGAAGCCACTTCCAAGCCCAGCGTCAGCGGCGGAGATGAGGGTGAGGGGTGTGTCGAGAAGGGAAAGGCTCGGGTATTCCCCGAGCCTTGCCCTCCTCTCAACCCCTCACTCCCTTCTCCACCACCGATGCTGGGTCTCGGAAGGGGCTTCTGAAACCCAGCGGCGGCGGCGGCGATGAGGGTGAGGGGTGTGTCGAGAAGGGAAAGGCTCGGGTATTCCCCGAGCCTTGCCCTCCTCTCAACCCCTCACTCCCTTCTCCACCACCGATGCTGGGTCTCGGAAGGGGCTTCTGAAACCCAGCGGCGGCGGCGGAGATGAGGGTGAGGGGTGTGTCGAGAAGGGAAAGGCTCGGGTATTCCCCGAGCCTTGCCCTCCTCTCAACCCCTCACCCCCTTCTCCACCAGCGATGCTGGGTTTCGGAAGGGGCTTCTGAAACCCAGCGGCGGCGGCGACCCCAGCCACCCTGCAGCCACTGCCGCTTGAGCCCGCCGCCCAGCTGGGGGGAAAGGCCGGCCGGCTCTTGGGAAGGAGGGTGGAGGAGGTCCCCACAGTCCTCCCCAAGAGCCCGCCGCCCAGCTGATCGGCGGTTCCAAAATGGCTGCCCGTTTGGTGCCTCGCTTACCGAGGCAGCGAAAATGGCAGCCCTATGCAAGATCTTCGCTGAACTGTGAGTTTTTGCCCCCTAGGAACGAATTAAACAGGGTTTAATTCGTTCCTATGGGGATTTTTATTCCGTTCAGCGATGTTTTCGTATAGCGACGTTAATCCTGGAACGGATTAACGTCGCTGTGCGGGGCACCACTGTACGTGCAAAAGGTCAATGAACTCTGCCCAGGCACAAGGACAGGGGATCACTACACACAAAAGACCAGCTAATGACACCCATCAATTACAGGAACAGATAATCTCTTCCCCTTAGCACAACAATACACCCACAACAATGGACACTAATCACCCATCTAGAGGAAAAGACAAAAGCCTATCTCACAGCCATAAACACTGCACTCCCAAGCCAATTACACCAGAGTACAGGTTGCTGTCCTCTGAAGATGCCGGCCACAGAGACTGGCGAAATGTCAGGAAGAACCTTCAGAACACAGCCAAAGAGCCCGAAAAACCCAGAACAACCAACTTTTTTCCACTCTTTCTATGTCAAACCTTTCTTTCACCTTTCATTTCCCTCTTCATATTTCAAACCATCTGATCTATTTTCTCATCCCATAACACTGGCAGAGCTATTGCAATGACAATGTGACCAACTGCCAGCAGCCAATCAGAACATTTGGAGGGAGGGAGAATGTTCAATCTGTAGAAGGTCCTAGAACCCACCGAGAATTTTTTAATGTTCATTTGATTCCTTTTGCTTCACAGGCTTTTGGTCTCTGCCAGCCCTGACTTCTTTGGAAAGCCCCCGCCCCAGCTCATTTTGGGTTTCTGTTTGTTTTAATTTTTTCCTTTCTTGCATTATTTCTGTTACTGCTGTGCCTGGCCTGCTGGACTCAAATAAGACAAGAGAAGGCATCCAGTGGGGGGAGGGAGCAGGAGAGGGAGAGAGAGAGAGAAATGCCTCATATTTTAGCAATTTTGACATGTGGGTGGATTTGATTGTACTTTTTGCCTCGAAGACAGGAGGGCCTGGCATGCTATGGTCCATGGGGTCATGAAGAGTTGGACACGACTAAACGACTAAACACACACACAGTTGTATTTAACTATGGTAATCCTTTGAAGATGCCATTTGTTGATGATTTCATTCCCATTGTTAGCTATTGCGCGTGCCGTGCGTGCGTGCGTGTGTGTGAGAGAGAGAGAGAGAGAGAAAGAGAGAGAGAAAGAGAGAGAGAGAGAAATGCTTTCCCTGTTCAACTGGTGGATTTTTTTAATTATTTCATTAATTTATTGTTTCTTTTCCTTTTATACATTTTGGTGAGTTTTTATTTTTTCCTCATGTAGCTTCTATGGGTTTTTAAGAATTCTCCAGGGCTTCTGGAGTGTCAGAAAACACAATAAGAAAACCCAGAAAAGAAAACAAAAAGAGGCAGTCTCAAAAGAACTTAAAATGAAACAATCATAAATATTTTCACCATGATCATCCCAAGGCAGTTGAAATGCACACTGTTTAATCTCTTACATTTACAAAGAAACAGAGGAAAGAGGATCCACATGTTGCCAAGACACACTGAATCCAAACTGGCAGTTCTGTCCAAGATACCAAGCAAAGCCCACACATAGTTGCTGTCTTCTATTAGGAGAACACATAGAAGTTTCCCCAATTGATCTCCTCCTAGAAAACATGGGACCTATGTCTAATTTGGCAATAATTCACTGTCAAGTCCACCCTGTATCCTTGGTTTATTTTCCCTAACCCCAAGTCCACCCTCTAGATGTGTTTCTTCACACCACACTGCCACCAGGTATTATTCACTCAATACCAAATAGATCTTAGACATGTGCTGCCAATACAGTGGTACTTCACTAGACGACAACCTCACTGTACGAAAAAAGTGCATGACGATGGCTTTTTGCAATCGCTACAGCGATTCGCAAAACAGTCATTCCTATGGGGGAATTCTGCTTGACGATGATTTGGTCTGTGCTTCGCGAACCGTTTATTCGCAAGACGATGATCTTTACAGCTGATTGTCGAGGTCCTAAAATGGCTGCCCTATGTTTTCCGGACCTATGCTTCGCAGGGCAGCCATTTTAACACTTGACTGATGCTCGGAAAATAGCTTCCCTACGGGCAATCTTCGCTGGGACGACAAGGTAATTTCCCCATTGGAACGCATTAAATGGGTTTCAATGCATTCCAATGGAGAAAGGCTTTTCGCATGATGACGATTTCGCTTAACAGCGATTTTCCCAGAACGGATTATCGTCGTCATGCGGGGCGCCACTTTACAACAGATTTATTAATATTATAGATGTTATGCAAATCACAGGAGACAATCACATTAAATATCATTTGCTTTTACGTTGGTTTGTATGTATATTTATTCAATGTCACAATATTCTCTGCCTATTTATTCTCTATGCATTTGAACTCTTTCCTATTATTTCTAGCATTCCAACTTTCCAATCTCTGTCATAACTTTCTCAATTCAATCTCCTAACTCTCTCTCTTCAATTCCCTATCTGTAATCTCTTTTCTCCAACTCCTCTCCCTAACTCTCTAACCAACTGTCTAAGTGTCCTTTAGGTTCCGCCCCTCCTGTCCTATCATAAGCTCCTGCCCTTGAGCTCCCCATAATGGACAGGCGTGACATGGGGGTTCCGCCACAATCACCGTTATTCATTCATTCCAAATTCTGTGTTTTGTGTCCACTGCTCACACTCTGGATACACCTGCTGCTACTGTAGCAGTGAAGCACAATTGTTACCTGAAAATCCTCTATTGCCTGAGTAGGTCTGATAACCTAAACTTTTATCTCTAAGAGACTAGTACCACTGCACCTCCTTGCTAAGAATGATTTCTTTTAAAACTAGTCATTAAAACTGACACCCATGGCTGTTTTCTCCCCTCCTCTTACCTAGTTCCTCATGTCACATATTGTAGACTATAGCCCTGCAGACAAGAACTACTTTGCATGTCACAGATCTGAAATTACATAAACAAGGTGGACTTCTGATTTGATCCACAATGTCCTAGATCTCCTAATGCCAAAGGCTTTCCACATCCTATCCAGTAAATGAGTCAAATGTCTCTTATCTAATAATCTAAAGTAAATGTTCAAGTTCATAAACATCACAAGCATCCCACAGTTCCTCCCCTCCTTCCAAACATGTTAATTCTGCTCTATGATAGTTTGGTACTATATCTAATAAGCATTGACCTTGATTAATACAGAACTAGTTAGCTACTAAAATTCTCAATTAAACTAGTATGAGAAAATCCAAAAACCTGATGAAGTTTTCCATTCCACAAAATGTTCTAGAATAGCATCAGAGAGACAGAGTGAGTGTACACATACAGAGTACAAACACATACACACGAAAAAGATACTTTAACAATCTGCCAGACTAGCTTCTACTGGAGAGATTTTTAAAGTACCGTATTTGCCAGTGTATAAGATGACTTTTTTGGTCCCAAAAGCATGCCTCCAAGTGGGGGGATCGTCTTATATGCCGAGTGCACTTCAGCTGGGCTAGGAAGGAGCCGCCACAGTTGAGTGAGTGACGCGGGACCGTGCCGGCAGGGGAGGAAGGCAGGCAGGCAGGCGGTTGGTCCGGACGGAGGGAGGAAAGCAAGGCCAGCCATGCCTGAGCGGCCAGAACCCGCGCCAGGCTGTCCGCCACCCCGCGCCGCTGAGCCAGCTGCCTGCTCGCCCACGCGCTGCCAGAGAGCTGCTTTCCCTTCCCCTCCTCCTCCGCTGAGACCGCCCGGCCGGCCGCTTCCCCTCCTCCTCGCCCTCCTCGCAGCTGAGCCAGCTGCCCGCTCACCCGCACGCCACAGAGAGCTTCTTCCCCTTCCCCTCGTCCTCCGCTCCCGCCACCCACTTGGCTGCTTCCCCTCCTCGCCGCCAACCATGAATTTCCAGGGCGGGCCTGGGCAGAGACCCGGGCAGCCAGCGCCGCAGCAGAGCCGTCCACTCTATATTTTGAGTGGAAATGTTGGGGGGTCGTCTTATATGCCCAGTCATCTTGTACGTCGACAAATACAGTACTTAATAAAGCCCAGTTGTTAAATATGCTGCCAATGCTTACCACAGCAAGCTGTGTCCGCGAAGCTACTGTATGAAAAACTGCAGGCATCATAAGAGATTCTTCAACTTTCAGTTCCATCTCATTTTCTGCTGAAAATGTTGTTTTAGGGATAGCTGGAGGACGTTCACATAAAATCATTTCTTTGTTGAAGAGAAAAATTGGGTTTGTATCCTACATTAAAATACAACATGTTATTTCCTTCTCTTTCCAGGCATTTGGGAAAAAAATGCAAAAACTATTAGGAGAACTGAATATTTACCGTTCCAGCACTGTAACTACAAACTTTCCTATCCGCTGCCATGCACTCTCCGCCATTGACAACCAACACCTGATGCTGAATAGCGATTTTGTACTTGGTTTGGATTGCCTGTTTAAGATCTGCCACACTAAACAAAACAATTTACAAAAATGACTTCATTAACTTCCAACAACATTAAAAATATATATACAATAATGATTTGTTAATACCATATGCTGAAAATATTAAATATGAAGATAGATAAAAGTAATTACTATTGTCTAATCTTTAATTTGTTACAGTAAGTGAAGGATAGTGCCAAAGAATTACAGCCACGATTGTCAATATGCCTCCTCTGTCGTTTAATGCCTAAACATAAACACAAACCATAAGCACTGCAGTTACTATGTCATAAATACAACATTATATTCATTCCTTTAGAGAGCTATTGGAAGAGAAGAAGGAATCTCAAGTGAGTCTTAAATAGATAGTGCTACTGTTAGGTGGATTTGTAATTGGTTGACTGACTGAATCCAAAGGGTGATCAAAAATGGCTCCCCTTCATCCTAGAAAGAGGTGACTAGTAGGATGCCTCAGGGTTCTGTTCTTCAGGGTCCCGTGTTATTCAACATCTTTATCAATGACTTGAATGAAGGAATAGAGAGTATGTTGATTAAATCTGCAGATTATACTAAATTGGCAAGGATTCCTAATTCCCCAGAGGACAAGATTAAAATTCAAAATGACCTTAACAGCTTAGAGCCCTATGCAAAAATTAACAAAATTAATTTCAACAGGGAGAAATGTAAGGCCCTACACCTAGGCAGAAAATATGAACTGCACAGATATATGACGGAAAACACCTGGCTAGACAACAGTACCTGTGAAAGCGATCTAGGAGTCTTGGTAGACCACAAGCTGAACATGAGTCAGCAGCATGATGCAGCTGCCAAGAAAGCCAATGCAATTCCTGGTTGTATCAATAGAAATATAGTGTCTAGATCAAGGGAAGTGATAGTACCACTCTATTCCGCTTTGGTCAGACCTCACCTGGAGTATTGTGTCCAGTTCTGGGCACCTCTGTTCAAAGCGATCTAGGAGTCTTGGTAGACCACAAGCTGAACATGAGTCAGCAGCATGATGCAGCTGCCAAGAAAGCCAATGCAATTCCTGGTTGTATCAATAGAAATATAGTGTCTAGATCAAGGGAAGTGATAGTACCACTCTATTCCGCTTTGGTCAGACCTCACCTGGAGTATTGTGTCCAGTTCTGGGCACCTCTGTTCAAAAAGGATGTTGACAACCTGAAATGTGTCCAGAGGAGGGTGACTAAAATGATTAAAGGTCTGGAAGCAAAGTCCTACAAGGAGTGGCTTAGGGAGTTGGGAATGTTTATTGTTGTTTAGTCATTAAGTCATGT